ATAAAAATTGCTAACATATCCCTTCTTAGTGATACCAATCAAAATAATTTTGATAATTCATTTATAATATATGCATGATACTTTTTAATACATATTACGATCAATACTTCTTTGTGGAGGTTGGGTGTGTTTGTTGTGCACATGTGGAGTCCATGTGGCATTTTAGCACACACATAGATGTTTTGTTAAACAGAAGGGCAAGTGTGGTCAAATAGTTAGACGGGAAGGACATTTTTTAGTCGAAATATAGTTTAAGGGTATATTTAAGCTATTTCAAATAGTTTAAGGATAATTCTAACCCTTTTTCGTAGTCGTCTATGTGGAGGTGGGGTCTGTTTGGTGTGCACATGTGGCATCCATGTGGCGTTCATGTGGCATTTAACACACACATGGATACTTCCGTTAACTAGAATGGTAGGCAGTGGCGGATCTATTAAGGCATGTGAGGGTGCCATGCCACCCCCGAACTTCGACGGAAACTCTATATATACATATGTATATATATATATAATATTTATATTTATATAAAGCGTGCCACCCAAAGAACAAAATTGGCTTGTGGTGCCACGGTAGGAGAGCAACTTTAGAAGGCTGATGTTGCGGGTTCGAATCCCATTTGTACCTATTTTTTTGAGAAATACATCCTTTTAAGAAAAATGAAATTGCTGCACACGTTCTTTTAAGAAAAATTAGAGAACTAAAATTAATTTATATCGAAAAGATGAATAATTTAATCAAATATAAAATTAATTTAATCGATAAGTCTATTTTGACACCCACGGAGTTTAAATCCTGGATCCGCCACTGATGGTAGGTATGGCCCAATAGTTTGATGGAAAGGGTATTTTTGAGCCGAAATATAGTTTAAGGGTATATTTAAGCTATTTCGAATAGTTTAAGGGTACTTTTGACCCTTTTCCGTTATTTATAATACACTTATAATACAATATAATGCCGACATAATACATCTTTAATACATATTGCAGACATCACTCCCTCTTTAGTGATGCCTATCAGAATTATTTATAATACAATATAAGATCGACATAATACATCTTTAATACATATTGTAGACATCATCACTCCCTCTTTAGCGATGCATATCAGAATTATTTATAATACACTTATAATACAATATAATATCGACATAATTATACATCTTTAATACATATTGCAGACAACATCACTCCCTCTTTAACAATGTCTATCCGAATTATTTATAATACTAACATAATACATCTTTAGTACATATTGCAGACATCACTCCCTCTTTAGTGATGCATATCATAATTATTTATAATATAATGTGATACTGACATAATACATCTTTAATATGTTACATAATTCCTATTTTAATATAATTTTAAAAAAAATCATATCTTCAAATATTATCAGGTATGAACACGAATATTAATATAACCTTCACTAAAATGGGAATCGTCCCCAAACATCACAGCAAATTAGAAACTAACCTTCTTCTCTGCAAATTAATCAGCCTAAGATTTTTCGGCCTATAAAATAACCCTAAGTTCTCTATGGATCTTCGGCCTTTAATTTGATAAAAGCCCAACTTCTTTCATATTGTTGAGAGATCAAGAAAGAGCATATATATATATAGAGAGAGAAAAGGAGACGCTTGCAAAAGAGATAAATCTAATAACTATATATTACTGTTATATATTGCTATAAATGGTAATAATTAAAAAGTATATTTAAAAATAGTAATTATTTATTAAAAGGGACTCACCCAAGTAATTAATCCAACTAAAATTTGACCTACTCCAAAACTATATCCAATCCATATCCATTTCAATCCTGACCCCAATCTTAAGGCCCATTGAGATATGCGATATAAATACATGTGGAATAGAACTATATGTAAAATAACATAATGAAACATTAACATACATATAAATAAAGAAAAAGGATGCCCAACAGAATCATAGAAAGGAATTAGAGAATCAAGAGTCACAAACATGTTTTTACATTTAGGTTCTTAATTAGTTATGGGTTAGTTTGTTATGAAAGATAATTAGTATAATCGACATAAAATGTGAGTACATGGAGTGTGATCTTGACCCAATCAACTAAGTCATTTCACACCTTGCCGGGTGTGAAAATGATTACATGTCATGAGGATTCATATTAGCCCAAATTGGGAGACACATAAAGGAGTCGTCCGAACCAATAACATGATTTCATGTGTTCATGTGTTCATCGTTAGACTTATACCTTCTCAGTTAACCATTTATTCCATTAAGTTTTCATGTTCATAGATTAGCCCGAGGGCTCGACTCATATTCATAGGTTTTTTCACTTTGTGCACCATAACTTGCAAATGATAACTCATAATCAAGAAATGCGTGTCATAGTTCGTCTCAAAGAAAAAACATGTCATAGTATTTTAAGTTCAATTTCTTGAGGAGTTTCTATGGGTTTAAAATTGTCAAGATCATATATATCGTAAGAAATCATCAATAAAATAATCAAATAAATCATTAAGCTTAATTTTCAAAATAAAAATCACTCCTTTTTTTTTTCATGTTCATTTGCAATTTTACGGTGAGACCCGTACAACTCATAGGAAATAGAGGATCAAGTTATGAGATTTCATTATAAATTCAAGTATATTCATGGATGGAATTTTGTAGACATGAGGCATAATCGTGGGAAAGAACAAAGGTCTGCTCGGACATAAAAGATAGCTTTACATACCTTAATTGCTTTAAATACCCAAAAAAATCTAATCTTGAAAGGAGAAAAATAATAAAAATCTTTCTTGAACCTTGGGGATGAACTTTTCTAGAAAATCCTAGGATTGTAGTGTAGAATATTACTGAAAATTCATAGTTAATGATTAGGATGATTAATAATACTTTAAAATACATGAAAGAAACATATTTTAATATTGGAGGTTGAGACAATGAGAGAAAATCGTTTGAGGATTGATGAGAATGAAAAATAGAATGAAAATATTGGAGATGTAAGTGTTTTAAAAATTTCGCCAGCCATTATGTGATGCCAAAAGTGTAGATCGTACAATAGGAGTGTTACGTAAACTTCTGGTCGCACAAATAGACATTTTTGGTCGCACAATTTCTCTATTTTGCTATCTTTTGGTAAAATGATCATAATCTTTTACTCCAAAGTTAAATTGATGAGAGCTTTGATGTGTTGAAAATTAGACTTACGAATCTTTAATTTGACAGATAATGGGTCACATAACTCTTCCTATTTTATGAGAGATGCTTGTTTGAAGTTGGAGTGCTCATATGAAAATTTCTTCAACGGAGAAGCTTTAAACTTAACTTTGGGTTAGAGGTTCCTTATGATCTTAATTCACATCTAACCCACTCTCCAAACTTAAAAATTAACCTCTTCATCTAGTTCAATTGATTCGTCGTGTCCGAGTCTAATTTCATAAGTGAAACAGTTCAAATCATAGTCCAAAAGTTTGAGGTGCTACAAGAGATAAGCAACTCACTGTATAAAAAAGAGTGCAAAATACCGTGAGAAATAACCTCACAAAACTCACTCAAAATTTAATAAAAAATTCACACAAAAGATAGGATAACACTTATGTCTCACAATTTCTCCCCTTGACAAGATTCTCAAAGTCCTTAGGACTATAATTGTGGATGCTACCAAATTCGAATAAAGGAGCTTCAATATATATAGTCCAAAACTTTTTCCTATAAGAAAAATGATTAGCCAAATATGAAAAAAAATATGATTTTCTTTTAGAAAAAGAAAAGTCCAATTATAGCAAGAAAATCAACACAAACACCCAACACCAAAAATGATAAGTACTTCAAATGTGCCAAATATATGAAATCAATGTACTTTATCGTCAAGGATGAAGTTCAGAAACAAAAAGTGTCATGTGAAAATATTAGAATTCATCTCATAATTGCAAATCCGTGAATGAATGATTTACAATAAAAGATATTAAAAGAATATATTCAAAGAACGAGTCTTGGTTGTTATGATCGATGCATTTATGATTTTTTGATACTATAAATTCAATTATGTGTTTACGATATACATTAATGATTTTTTTTATAATGATGTCTACATTATTATTTTGAGATATCGTAAGATAAGTCTTAATAAAACATTATAGTGAACCATATGTTAAATATTTTGTAGCTCATGAATATGATATGATAAGTTGCTAATGTAGTCGTTTATGGAAGGTAGTATGTAGTTCAATTTTTCTTTAAGTACAATTGACATAGCCAATAATAGTAGTTTATCTTATTGTGGTATATATAATGGATATTATAAAAGAAATTTATTTTATGCGCAATTAATGTTTATGTCATTAAATATTAATGTTATGTCATCATTGAGTCAAGTGAGAAGGTATAAGTCTTATTAGTTATTGTTTTATTTGTGGTCTAATTAGTGTAAAACTCATAACCAATACTATTTAATAAAGAATAGATCTTATTCGTATCAAATTATTTAATGAACGTACCATATTAAATTTTAATCTCTATAAATTGATCGTTTAATTTATAGATTACCATATATTTTCTATACAATTCCATCATCGACAATAAACTATAATTAAAAAACTAGCTTGTGCAACTAAAAATTAAGCTCCTCTTTCTACAATAAAGTTTAAACTTGTCTGCCGATAGATAATAGCAAGTGTTCAAAGAATCAATTGAGATACAATCAAAGCTCATTAGAAGTAATTTAAAAATATCATAAAAATATGGTGCAATGCATGAGGTTAATCTTCTCTTAATTAGAGGTCTTGGATTTAACTCTGAATATATAAAAATTCTTGACAGAAAAAGCTAATAAAAAATAGTGGAACAATGCAGATAAAGGGGAAAATAAAAATTGAAAATTAAAAAATAAATAGATATATATTTATATGCTACTAAAAGAATTCTTGAAAATACAAGGGGGCGGGGCGGGGGTAGGCGTAGAAGGGGAAGGAAACAGCTCAAGGGAAGCAATGGTGAGAAGAAGAAATCAGTAGCTGCTTCAGTTACAAATGGAGTCTTGGTTACGGCCTTTCTTGGCTCAAACCCTTAATTGGGTCTCCACTCAAAACCTCCACAAATATGGTTAGCAATTCCAATCTCTGTTTCTTATCGAATTTTTCTGGCTTTTAAAAAGTATATCTGAGCTTAAAAATTGAAACTTTTATCAACGGCCGGCTGATTTTTCTTGATTGATTGATGGGTATATAAGGATTTATGGAGCAAGATGAAAAATAAATTGAAAAATAGAATTTGGTTTAAAGTTCTTTGGATGAAGAATCTAAATTTAATTTCTTTCCAGTTCTGAAATGTTACTTTGTCAGCTAACCAATATATAGTTTGATATTTTTTCGGATGATGGTGGTGTTGAGATCAGCTTAGGCGCACCTCGATTGATCCACAAGCATAGTTATGGAGTAAACCTGCCTACTAAGGCTTGGTGAGATGTGCTCACATTGAGTGTTGTAGCTGCAATCCATTTGAATTTAGTTTCGTACTAGAGGCGTTTTAAGCACTTGGACAATTTGAATTGATATTGATTATCCAGAATGTGAAGGAGCTATGCGGATCTCCTGTTATTGTGCCTTAGGTCATCTCATCTTAACCTAAGGCAATGGTTAACGTGGTACCACTGTATGCAAAGCTCAAACTTGTTCAAATTAATAAGCAGAGTAGAACACGAAAAAGGATATGTGAAACACAAGAGGGGGAGGTTAGTCAGATTATTAATCGACTGTTGTTTAGACGAAATAGACTTCCCTGCAGTTAGAAGATTTGCTAATTATGAAGGTTTATAAGATGCGTGAAGAAATAAAAAAGCATAGTTGACATAGAGATTTTTATATTGGTTTGGATCAATAATGTGGTGGCCTAGTCTAGTCCCTTTAGTTACAAGGGTTTCCTTAGAGCATTGAATGATTCTTCGTTACACGAATAGCCTAGTTGTGAACTATGAGAGTTCCCTGATCGGGAAGATTCCAGTGCAATTTTCGGTCACAACCTCAACTCTTATAGCTTTTAATCTCTCTCTTTTTTTTCACTAGTAAACTATGTTGAATAGAGTGCTTTTACAAAATGAAAGAGTGAATAGGGTTTTTGCTCAAGTGAAGTTGCACAATCTTCTTCTTTAAGGATGATTTGCTTTTATACTGTTTGGCTGCTTCTAGACCGTTGCTTGAACAGATTTGAATCAATCGATCTCTGAACTTGAATGTCATTGGATTGATCTGAGAATCGATCCTTGATTTTCAGCGATTTACTCTTAAGATAACCCAAGGGATCTTCTCCTTCAATCAAGGTATTCAGAGGTCCTTGATTGAGTGTCCTGATCTTTCTTGTCGTAAGCTCGTGTTCTCTTTCCTTGTGGTGTGCTTACTTGTTTCCAACTTTAGGCAAATCAATCTTCCTTGATTCTGGTAGTGTCTGCTTTCCTTCGTTGCGGTATGCTGCTGACTTGTTCCATCTATACGTGAATCAATTTTCCTTGCTTCTGGTGGCGTGTGCTTCCTTCCTTGTTTATAGTTATGCCTTCCCTTCACAGATTTTGGATGTCTCCTTATTTCTTTTTCGCACAGATCCTTTAGGATTAGTGCCATCATTAAAACATTAGTTAATGAAGCTTACAATATGTGTATCACAGCAATGGTTCAGTGCACGACTTAGGTTATATCATCATTCTCCATGTTGTAGGTCTTTGTCTCTGCTAAGAGAAGGATGTTACTGTGAGTTGCAAGTTGCTACTTGCTAGTATTGGTTTTTCAAGTAGTTAGTTAAGTCATTTGTTGACTTCTGTTTAGCATGCCGTAAGTTTTAGAAATTCCTACATTTACTAGTTCATGCTACCAATCAATTACTATTAGTTTAACCAAATAAATTTTGTTTAATATAAGAAGAAAAAGTTAGAGATAGAAAATGGTACTGTTATCTTGAACTGGCAATTGCTGGTAGTTTGGTCGTCTCATATGGCCCAAACGCTAAAATTTTTTTTTGATTCTAATCAGGTGCTACTGCTTTACTAGTAGTATCAGAATGATTCTTCAACCTGATGATATTCTTCAACATGCAAGTTAGTTGTAGTGGAAAAAGTAGGAATGCAGAGACATGGGAAGAAACAAGGAAATATGGTATGGCATTCTCTTAAAATGTGCTGTCGATGTTGCTGTGCTTTTGCAGCAAACTTTGAGGAGGTTTTATTATACCACGTGACTGTCAAGTGTCAACTATCGTTAGCTTATCCTTCTGCTTCACTTTATGATGATAGATCTTTCCAAGTTTGTGGTAGAAACTAAGAGTCTAAGCAACTTTACACTTTTCTTATATAGTTATTGACATAAACATTTCTCATAATCAACTCAAATCTCTGCAAATAGGTGACATTCTATTTAAAATTGACAAGAACTGATATAATTATATGTATGAGCCAAAGAAAAGCATCTATTAACCAAATTCAAGATCCAAGTTACTGTGTGAACTTCTCTTTTACAAACTCTCCTACACTACAGCTCTTGGAAATACTGTCTCACCTGCCCATGCAGATAGGTTTAAAAAGATCGCGGTTTTTCAGGCAGTCTGTGGAAGTAAAATAAAGAAATACCAAACAACAGTCGTGCTGCTTTGGAATTTCCTTCTTCCAGTTGATTTTATATTTATGCTTGTTAAATTGTTCTACTGGATTTAATGCAATAGACATGAAAGAAGATTTAATACTAGCTCTACTCATTGCTCTTGTTTGACTCAAGCTACTGTTTTGATAGGAGCTGTTTTGAATAGGTTCCTACCAGGCATCCTGGAAAATGAGGAGGCGACAAAAAGGGCATTGCAAGATGACAAATCACAAAATGTTGAGGAAGTACAGAAAATCATAGGGTACGACTTTAATGATCGGAATTTATTGCGGCAAGCTTTTACACATACGTCGTATCACAAGGACTGTATATCTTATGAGCGGCTCGAGTATGTGGGTGACTCGGTTCTTAACTTTATGATCACAAAAGAACATTTTTTTAAGTATCCAAGTCTTCCACCTGGGTTGTTGTCACCTCTACGTGCTGCAAATGTTGACACAGAGAAGCTTGCGCGTGCTGCTGTTAAGCATAGTTTCCACAAGTATTTACAGCATGGAAAGCCTATCCTTACGCGACGAGTAAGTAAGCTTACTAATGAAGGGCATTTGCTTTGTCTTATTTTTATTTCTTTTTTGGGTTACTTATTCGAAAATAAACCCTGTCTGGTATATTGGTGTCCAGAAAAATTTCTACAGTTTGGCATTTGGTTGCTAATTTTGATAGCACATCAACATTTAGCTGTTTCCTCTGTGTTTCCATGCCAGTGGAAATTGAAGCATTTTCACATACACACTTGTATATGAAATTCAGTTTTTCCATGTGTTTATAAGAATTTTAAAATATTTCCTTCTTTTCCCTTCACTGATCAGTGGAGTGTATGTATGTGAAAATAGAAAACCATTTCTTTCCATTTTCACATACAGACTCCACTGATCATTTTCACATACACACACTCCACTGATCAGTGAAGGGAAAAGAAGGAAATACTTCACATACACACACTGAATGAGAAAGTCTCACTTTACTTCCTCTGACTTTTCTCAATCTCGTCTAAAGTATGCTATTTTTCATTGATATACTGCTCCTTCCTTACCGCTTTACCTTTTTCTTGGTGTTTCATTTAAGGTTCCGTATGTGTCTCTCCATCTTTTCCAATTGACAAATGTTATCTTTATTCACAGATTCAATCATTTATAAATGTTCTTCCTGAGTATCCTTTGCATTCCCATGGATTGATAGATGCTCCAAAGGTGCTTGCTGATGTTGTTGAATCAACGATAGGAGCAGTATTTATTGATAGCAATTCTTCAATTGACACTACCTGGGAGGTATGTTCCTTCCCCCCCCTCAAATTCCTAATTGGAAGAGTGGAGCAAAATATTACTGGTACATGTACCTCTTATTGTGTGAAATGTTTCCATCGCAGTTCATTTGATTGGCTTGTAGTTCTTATAGGTTATATAGATTGCTAGGACCTACTTGAACCTCCCACCAAAGAAAAAACTGTCAAGAACCACCAAATATGGATAAACTATATATTGTATTACTACTTTATGACTGGAAGTTCATGAGGAATCTTGAAATGAATTTCTCCGGTTGAATGCTGAAGCAGCGACATTTACATCATATTATATGGAAAATAGAGAACCATTTTAGAATCGATGAGCTTGGGCGGTCAATTTCTATACTTCAAATTCAATCTAAACATGGTCCCCTGTAAGAGAATATACACCTAGGAGGTGGCAGTGAGGGGGACATTGAGGCGGATCTGGGATTCTGGACCACAACCCTTTTTGTTTACTGGGTTCTGGATAGATTATTTGTACATGTTAAATGAATTTCTTTAACACAAATATAAAGTCTGGACTAAAGCTGATTGGTTATGCCGAACCTAACTTTAGTGTAGATCCGCACCTAGGGGGACAAAGAGATACTTAATGCAGATATAGGATGTCACTTAATATCTGATATTACATGACTCAACCTCTTAAGGGGTAGACCCGTCGGGATAGGTTGCTATCTGGTCCTTTATGCATTGCACTATAGCTTCGGCCTGACACACCCCAAGAAATCTATAAAGATTGAATGTGTCACGTCGACTAATGAGAAGGGTAACTTATATAATTTTTGTTCTGTGTTTTCTTCTTGATTGGGGCTCAAAATGTCACTTGAACAGTATTCTTCCCATTCCTTGCCTCTTAATGCATGCTGCTTTTGATATTGGCTGACCTGTAGGTAGCGAAGATTCTATTAGAGCCCATAATTACACCGGAAATGCTTGAAACAAATCCGGTAAAGAAGCTATATGAGACCTGCCAGAAGCATAAACTTAAAGTTCGAGTAGTCGATATGTGGTCACATGATGGGAGTTTTGAAGTTTTTGTTGACAATCAAATGAGGGGAAAAGGCATGTGCCATGTAAAGAAAGAAATTGCATTGAACAGAGCTGCAAACAAAGCATATAATGAAGTTATTGGAATGCTAAGTGTTGGCAATATGAATAAATAGCTCATAGAGAATAATCTGGCATTAGAAATACAACTATTTGTCTCTATTTTGTTCCTTATTGCAAGTTGGAATACAGACTCAATTCTTTTGAAAAATCCACAAGGCATTGTTTTGATTGAGTTATGTTTTCAAGTTCCACTCAAATTAGTTAATAATTAATCGTTTTGATGGACTGTTTTTACATAAATGATAAGTAGAAAAGTTGTAGGAATTAGATTAAATAATGCACAATAAGTGCAAGAATCCACAAGATTATGAAATTCAAATAATAAAATTGACTTTAGTTGGAATAGATTTTTGGTGTTGAATCGTGTGTATTGGATTGTGAAATTCAAATAATAATTTTATTTTGGCAAAACAAATTTATTTACATATGACTGAAATTTTAGTCAATTTTATATTATTATTTTTTTGTTCTTTAAGTCATATATGATTGAAGTGCAGACCTACATGAAAAACTTAAAAGAGTGCTAAATTGGTTTGCTAGATTTGTTGTTGTTTTTATAAATTGATGATTAATATTTATTTATTTTATAATAAATGAAACTTATATTTTAAATTTGAGCTTAGTTGATTTAGGTATTCAATAAATTGTTGAAATTCGAATAACAAAAAATTAGCAAAAATTTAAGTAAAATGCAAAATTTCCAACCAAAGGGACCCTTGAATTCATATTCATAATTTCACATGTATCATCATTCATCATTGAGTACCTTTTTAGTTAGTGGGGAAACAAAACATTGTGTTGCTTGGTGGCTAAGGTTTGAATATATAGTACAATAATTGAACTTTGGTTTAACCAATTACATTTAAGAAAAAATACTTTAGCTCAAGATTGACAAGTTGTATTATTGTACTATAGGTTCAATAATGGATCAGACTTCCCCTATGGGCTATGCCTTTTTTTTTCTTCCCTTTCATTTTCATGGACAATTCAGTATCATTGTTTTTCTTTTTTACCGACCTAGTCACAAGACAGGACACATCCTATGGATCCTTTTTTTCGTTTTTCATTTTGTGTTTAAAGTCTACACTAAAATGTTGGAGTGCGCATTACAGAGCTTACTCAGATGTGACACTTCTAATAAGATTTTCTCCTTACTTAAGGCTCTATCCAAAACCTCTAGTTAAAAGTGAAATAATCACACCACAGCACCCTAACCCATGTTGGTATCCTATGAACCATTTGTTTGCTTTATTCCATGATTTAGGGTGTGATGGATACAACATAAATTATTTTTCATGAAAAATATTTTTAAAAGCCTTTTTTCACGTTTAGTAATTAAGAAAATATTGTATGAGAAATATTTTTATGTAAACTAGCACAAAATATTATAGGGGTGGGATGAAGTGGAGAATGGGGTTCGTGAGTGGGATAGTCACGAGGATTGGATGAACAGGGAAAAGACGATGAATTTGGAATATTACTAGAACTTGTTCTTTCTTTTTTATATTAAGAAAGTCATTTTCCTTATATGAAACAATAAAGTAAATAAAAAATATATGGAACAATTTGAGTTCTTGCTATTTATTTGTTTATTTATTTCTTGCATAGTTTTCATCAAATCTAATAAATAGAGTTGAATCAATATTTGACGGTATCTTTTGATAAACTTAAAGGATGGACAAAACTACGAAGTACATACATAGAAGAACTAATTTGAACTTTTCCTTAAACATAAGGGACTATTTTTGTCATTTTATCTGACATCATCTTTATACAAAAAAAGTTCTATAAAATCCATTCTAAATTAGGAGACCTCACTTCAAACTTGTTATAATTTGAATTTGATATATAGCCATGGAAGAACAAAGCTTTCAACAACGGGAGAGGCTAGTAGAGGAAATAACAGGATACAAATTTAAGAATCCCGACTTGTTACATCAAGCTTTCACTCATCCTTCTGTCCCACAAAATTGGGCATCTAATGACAGAATGGAGTATTTAGGTTAGCAGTGAATTTTAATGGTTGAGTCTAACTAAAATCATTACTTTTTTTTTTTGAATTTTATGAACTAATTGATATTCTGATGTAGGTGATTCGGTTCTGAGTCTGATGATAGCAAAAGAACATTATTTTGCTTATCCTGATTTATCTTCTAAGGATCTCACAGATTTGAGAAGTGTCAATGTAGATACTGAAAAACTTGCTAGAGTCGGCATCAAATACAATTTGCACAATCATTTACGTTGTCAAATTCAATCATTTAATGAACAAGTAAGTAACAAATTCAATTCATTAAACATCTTTTAATTTTTGTCCATTGGAAACTTATTCGATAAAAATTAAATCAACACACCGAATTGATTTTATTTTTCTATTTTTTGAATTTCAATTTTTTGATCTATTTCAATTAATATTTTTAAATTTCGATTTTCGATTTCTGATTTTTCAAATTAAAAAATCAGTTAATTAAAAAAAATCGAAAATTTTGTATAATTTTTACCTTTTGCATTTCCCCCCTACCCAATTTCTTCCCGTCCAATAAACTATATTATCATTTAATTAATTTTTTACCATTTCTTATTTTCTTTTGTAGATATCTTATTTTTTTCATACAATTGGATTTGTAATATTAATTTCTAATAGACTTTAGCTGCTTAGCTTAGATTCATCTAATTTCAATTGTATCACTTAAAGTATTTTTTTCATTTTAGTCTATTTGCCCCCC